ACTGGAATTAATGCAGTCTGACACCACTTTCACTGGTATGATTCAGTGTTATGGAATCCGGGGTCAGTAGTTTACAAGGTCTTCAGCTTTCTCTGCCAAAGAATGCTGGTGCCTCACCAAACTACCAAACTCCCAGGATTACATAGTACTGAGCCATGGCAATTGAAAGTGATTTCAAACTGCAGTGTAGATACATCCTAGGAGGACTATGCTGGGGTCATAGGGTCCCAGACTTTAGCCCCCAAATCTCCTTAGAGCTGCGAAAGGGAACCACAAGTAAAGTAACTTCACCCATTGATATACAGAGATGAACAGATCCTCTTTAAGTTATGCTTTTAACTGGCTTAAAATACCATATCTGGGAGTGACTTCCACTGGCAGAATATTACCTGGGAGACAGACATACAATAGTCTTCTTGTTTGTTCTAATCCCCTCCATGCAAATGTTTCAGCAAAAGATAGGTTGGGGAATATAACTCTCTTCAAGACAAAGTTTAGTTCCACTGGATGCTCTGTGTACATACTGGATTCCAGGGCTTCCACTTGGAAAGGCAACCTGGGCTTCCAAATCTAACTTGGGTTGGTGTTTTGAGGAATATTCTAGGAGCCAGACATCTGATGCAGCAGCAAAGGTGAATTGTGTTTTAGCCCACATTAATAGCAGCATAGTTTCCAAGTGAAGGGAAGTAATAATCCCACTATATTCTGTGATGGTCATGGTTCATCTGGTGTGCTGTGGTTCATTCTGCGCACCATATTTTAAGGATATAGACAAATTGCAGCCAGGTCGGAGATGGGCAACAGTGTCTAAGAGGTATGGAAAACAAATTATATGCTACTAGCTGTGCCCTGACACGCGTTGCTGGGGCCTATAGTAAGAATTTACTAGTAAGAAGTAGATTAGTCGGGTCTGGATAGATGAATTTTGGAGAGGCAGAGCAGCCTAGGCAGCACAGAAAGGGTAGTGGCAGAGAGGCAGTGAACGGAGAGCCTCCTCCCATGGGAGCCTGCTGTGCACGTACACTCCTTCCCTCCCCCCTCCCTCCCTGAGGTTTACTTTCTGAGGGGGGAGGAGGGAGGGAGGGGAAGTGGTTTTTTGGGGGTTTGCGAGTGGAGGACATAGCTTGCTTGAGATAGTGTCTAGTGTCCAAATTTGGTGTCAATTCCCCCAGTGGTTTTTGAGTTCTGATGGTATCACAAATGAACATTACATTTTTATTTATATAGATAGATTGAAAGAGTTGAGCATGTCCAGCTTGGGGAAGAGAAGACTAAGGGCGACATAACTGCTGTGTTTAAATATCTCAAGGGCTGTCACAGAAAGAAAGGGGCAGGCCTGTTTTGTGCTGGCCCAGAATGTAGAACCAGGTCTAATCGTGTTAAGTTATAGAATATGTTTTGATTGAACGTTAGAAGGAAATTCTTGACAGTAAAAGTGGTACAAAAATGAGACCAATTGCCTAGAGAGGTGGCAGGGGCTCCTCCTCTGGATATTTTCAGAAAGAGGATGCTTTAGTTTGGCATCCTGTATTGAGCCAGTGTTTCAACTCTATGGCTAATGCAAAATTAACAAACTAACATCGTTACAATCTGCATCCTTTCAGCTCAATGATTCTATGGCTATCCCCCATTCAGAGTGATATCTTCTCAAGTGAGGATGTTTACGTATGTTTTCTTTCCTTCTCCTGGGACATGGGGTTTATGTGCTGCTTTGTCTCAAAGGTCCCAGACAATGAGAAGGCACCCCACTAGGCTGAGTGCATTCCACCAGCAAGTATAAACATTGTTAGGGTTTTTGTTAAGGTTTTGCTGTGGTAGATGAATGGTTCTGTATGAACATTAATTTTATACAATCAGCTTGCTGTTGGTATTGAAGGCTTTTTTATTGTTGCCATTTTTTGTTATATGATGCTTGCTTTTGGTTTTACTGGATTTTGTATTGCATTGTATTATCATCCCATGTTTTTGTGCTTTCATGCTGAGTTTATCACTGTGGTGCCCTCAAAAGGAGAAGGCAACAAACACACCATAAATCACCAATCAATCAATCAATCAATCAATCAGTGTTGAATAACAAGAATAATTTCCCCCTTTACTGCTGTTGTTGTTTCAGCTGTTTTCTGGCATCCAGAGCCAGGAGCAGCCTTCAACGCCAAGAAGAAAAGTTTTCCTGCTGCTCCTGAGAATCTGACCCACAATTTCTTTGTGCATTGCCCCATGCATCTGTGTCTTACAGTGCAGAGAAAAGTGGCCAACAGCCAAGTATATTAAAATCAGTGAATAATGCCAGCTGCTCTGTAGCACCAAACATTCATTATTTTGGATCTGTTGAGAAAGTAGAGAGTGAATATAGAGCACATCTGAAGCAAGGTTCTCTGCAACTGTTTTGAACTATAATTGTTCCTATGTCAGACTATTGAGTTTATTGGGCAAAACTAAATACCCGTATTTTCTGGCATATAAGACAACTGGGCGCATAAGATGATCCCCAACATTTCCAGTTAAAATATAGAGTTTGGGATATACTCATCGTATAAGACTACCCCTCTTCCAATACACACCAAATAATTTTTTTAAAAGCATTAGATTTGATTTCAATATGGTAATTTTCCTATTACTGTACCTCCTTCTCTGCCTCTCAGATCTTGCACATGCACACCTGCATCGCTTCACCGAATTCTCAAGATCTGAGAGGCAGAGGAGGAGGTATGTAATAGGATATAAGGGCGGGCCAGACAGGTAAAAGAGTTGTGTTTTTCTGAGCCCAGAGCCACTCTATCTCTTTTTTCCATACCCCGGTACCCCGGACGCCTGCAGCTTGCTCCTCCCTTCACTTACACCTTCCCGGTGAGGCACCCCCTCACATCATAATCAGTCCACGAATCCTGATGAATGGATTTTCTTCTACCGTACTTGTTCAGCGTCGCCTTTAATGTTTTCATACAGTCACTGCATGTGGCAAGGATGTGGCCCCTGCCATTTTTGAGCTCCCCCACCATATGAGGCAACCACAGATTCTCCAATCCGTATTGGAGGTTTCAGCACCCGCTCTATAAGACAACTCCCGGCGTATAAGACTACTCCCGCATATAAGACGACTCCCATGCACAAGGCTACTCCATCGTATAAGTCAACTCCCATGTATAAGACCACTCTCGTGTATAAGACTACTCCCGCATATAAGACGACCCCTGACTTTTGAGAAGATTTTGTTGGGTTAAAAAGTAGTCTTATACGCCAGAATATACGGTAGATTTTTGGTCCAAGGTATGTAGAGGTGAAGACTGGTGTGATCTCAAGGGGCATACGCTAAAGACCAATTTGTTCAATTTGGCTCATAAAGGTCTCAGATATATTATTATATTTCTGTTGAGGGGATGTACACTAGCTGTGTGAATAGCCCTTTACCATTTTCGTCTGCCGACTGACAGCATTTCATGTGCTTTCTCTGGCTTTCACAGTGAAATATTTTCTCTACCACTGCTTTAGATCTTTACATTTTGCAGCAAATTTGAATTGTGAGTGTGGGGGGCAGGGGGGGATTTTTTTACAGAAGCATTTTCTTTGTTTTTTTTTTAAAAAGATATTTTGGAAAAAATTGAAGTCTATGCAGTACTTCTTTTCAGAACAAGTTTAATTTGGTTTTACATGATGTAACGTGTTTCATTCATAACATCGCTGACATAGAAAAATGCACTGTTTGACATATTTATGAAAGTTTAAAATGTTACATAATCACCTGCATTTGAGTTGGGTTTTTTACATGATATGTTGCTGGAAGGTGAGAGATAAAACAAAGCACAAATCTGTTCAGCAAAATAGTGTATTTTTGTGGACAGAAAGATATCATAAAGTCACAAACATAAAGAATTAGGCCTATTTAGGTTTAAGGACTAACAGCATATTTAGTTTTACTCAACATAGAAAATACTGAACTCTTCAAAGATATAATTGCATACAGTGAAGACTGCCCTGGATATGCCTTTCATAAAGATGGCAGTCCTCATTAGGTGTAGAAAGACCTTTTACATTTGAGTGCTATATATTCCCCAGTTTTTAAAGGAACCTCAGTTCCCAGAATTCCTGGATGCTAGCCATGCTGGCTGTGGTTTAGCCAGGCTTTAGCACAGCTGGTAAATCACCAGCAATAGTAAGATCCACTGACCAAAAGGTTGCTAATTTGAAGCCCCGGATCAGTGTGAGTTCCCAAGGGTCAGCCCACCTTACTGTTTACCTAAGCAGTTCAAAAACAGCTTGAGCTGTAAGTAGAGAAATTAGGTACTGCTAAAACAAGTGGGGGAGGTATTTCATGACACCATAAAGAAAAAAAATCAGAAAATGCCTGGCGACCAAAAGGAAGAAGTCCTGATGGCTCATTGTCATAGAGGATGTAATGACAGCACACCCCTGTGGCTGGATTCAAGCACAACCTCCAAGGTGCCAAAAAGCTCGATGCTGATACAACATACTTCCGTTTGGTTCTGTTCTGTCTCTCTCTGTCCTGTCTATCCAAAACGGCATTGACTGTTTGCCTTGTATGTGTACTGTGATCCACCCTTAGTCCCCTTGGGGGAGACAGGACGGAATATAAATAAATTATTATGATTATTATGATTATTATGATTATTATTGGAGTTGAAGTCCAAAACAAACTGGAAGTCCAAAGTTTTGGGGACCACTGCTGAAGGGTGTAGACTGTCTCACATACATACCTTCATATTATGCAGTTTCTGTCCTTTTTGCATGAGTAAAACATTATTGCAAAAAACATTTCACTCATTCCAAAAGAGAAAGTGTTTCATCTGAGGTTTCTTTATAAAATATGCTCTCCATCATTTATGTTTCAAATTAATTTCTAAAAACTGTCCAAGGGATGAACAGAACCACATTGTTAGAAATACTATGACTCTTGGTTGTGGTTCAGTACATGTGCCTAATCCCATTGCACATCAAGAGTGCATATTGACATACAATTTCCCTTTCTCTCTCTTTCTCTCCAGGGTGATGGTGCCGCTCTCACAAAAGCCCAAGGCAATGCTTTCCAGGTAGAAGAACAGCAGGAGAATTAGAGGAAGACTTTATTTTATTCTCTCTGCCTGGAAAGAAAGATTTTCTCCAGCAAACTGGACACTCTGGTCCCTCTCCATGGATAAAGGACACATATTACCGCAAGACTTCTGGGAGCTGCTGCATTGTCTGAGGATGAGGAGCAAGTATGCCATCCTCCTGGTGTTTGTAGTAGCACTTGTCATAATTGAGAAGGAGAACAACATCATATCAAGGTAGGGGAAAAGGAGAGATATAGCGGAAGGAAGGCTTTCTCTGTGTGCCTAGCAGAGCCTTCAGGCTAAGCACTCTGTCTTACTAAGCTTTCAGGTCCCAACTTGCTACCACCATCTCGCCAGCCTTTTGGAACAAGGTAAATATCTTCACCTCCCAGTCAGTATTAAGCTGCCTTTTTACTCAGGGAATGCAGATAGATCACACTTTTAAACACATATACAGTTAGAATTCACAGTAGTGGACTAGATGGTCAGGCCTGATGCAGAGTTATAATTGCCTGACAAATGGCAGTCTTAAACATTATTATTATTATTATTATTATTATTATTATTATTGGTAGTAGTAATATTTATATCCCACTTTTTGTCTCTCAAAGAAGACTCAGAGGCTTGCATTACAATCCATACAATATGTGAATTAAAAACCGATGTGTACGGACATTAAAACAGAACTAAACATATGATTTATTAAACGACGTAGTTTTTTTGGTCGTGTCAGGAGCAACTTGAGAAACTGACTTGAGAATTGGCTGTCTGCAAGGACGTTGCCCAGGGGACGCCTGGGTGATTTGATGTTTTTATCATCCTTGTGGGAGACTTCTCTCGTGTCCCCACATGAGGAGCTGGAGCTGATAGAGGGAGCTCATCCGCCTCTTCCCAGATTTGAACCTGCGACCTGTTGGTCTTCAGTCCTGCCGACACAGGGGTTTAACCCTCTGCACCACCAGGGGCTCCAACCACGTAGTTAAAATCAATAAAACCATTTAAAAACCTGTTAAACTACATAAAACACGCTGGCTTCATTAGGCAGGGAGTTCCATGAGGGACAACCACCAAGAAGGTCCCGTCTCACATCCCCACCAACCAAACTTGAAATTGTAGTGGGATTGAGAGAAGGGCCTGTTCTGACGATCGCAGGGCCTGGGCAGTTTCGTGCAGGGAGATGTGATCACCAAACACTCTTCAAAGGCAGCCCCACATAGAGCACATTACAGTAATCCAGTACTTGTAATTAAGGCATGTACTACTGTGCCAGATCTTATATGTAGCTTTTATAGAAATACATTTTAGTATGTGTATTTGTCCTATTTTCACAATGTTTATGTGTTTTAATTATTCTGTAACCTGCCTCAAGTAATGAGGAAAGGCGGGTAAGAAATAAAATTATTATTATTATTATTATTATTATTATTATTGACACAAAAGCACAGTATGTCACAGCAAACGAGATCTATATGCTGGATTTCGTATTATTATTATTATTATTATTATTATTATTATTATTATTATTATTGGATTATAAATTTTATTTGATAAATCCCAACAATTAACAAACTTTTGCTATGGGTGATGGATGATACATATCTAAGGAATGTATAAAATGTCAATTAAGGAATATTTCCTTTTGGAATAATGTATACTGAAATAAGTCTTGTATTATTATTATCATCTGACCTCTCAAGGAAGAGGCACAGTTGGCACACCAGTTTTAATTGTGTAAAGGCCCTCTCGGCCACCACAGAAACCTGGGCCTCCAGTCCAGATTGACCCCCAAACTGTGGACCTGTGTCTCCAGGGGAGTGTGACCCCATCCAGCACTGGCTGGATCCCTATTCCTTGATCTGGCTTCCGACCGACAAGGAGCATATCTCTCTTGTCCGGAGTTCAATTTGTTTGCCCTCATCCTATCTATTACTGATGACAGGCACTAGTTTAGGGTCAAGATGACTTCCTTGACTTGGGTGGAAATGAGTAGTAAATTTGGGTGTCATCTGCATATGGATGGCACCTCTCCAGCTATTACCAGTATTTCCTCGTATTCTGGCTTTGAGGATGTGTTTTTCAAATGGTGTTATTTATTAACTTATCATAGGTTAATTTATTTTTTAAAAAAATCAGAATTACTGGAGAAACGACAATTCTACTTCAGTGTATAATAATAATAATAAAATAAAACTTTATTTATATACCACTCTCTTATTTATAAACCACTCAGAGTGGTTTCCAAGTAACATAATCAATACATACAAAGTAAACAACATATTCATAAGATTAACAAAACAATATAAGTATAAAAATTGTTGCAATAACACATAAATATTAAAAGGAATCCTCCCTGTTTAAGGCAGTTTAAAAGTCTGGACATAGATTAGTGCAAGCTCAAAAATTCTAGGAGGCCTGGGAATTAAGTGCAGTGCTATAGCAGGAAATAACAATATAATAGCAGGCAACAACAATAATAGGTAGGGGTTATATTGGTTTTTGCATTTTATGTTTTGTGTATATTGTGTCTATTGTGTTGATGGGCATGGCCTCATGTAAGCTGCCCTGAGTCCCCCTGGGGGAGATGGAGCGGAATATAAATGAAATATTATTATTATTATTATTATTATTATTATTATTATTATTTGCTAATACATGAGATCCCTATGAGTGTTCTGGACAGTGATTGGAAACATTACTGTTTATTTCATTATAGCTCATAGAGTTGGGCAAGCTGGCTGGAGAATACTGGGAGTTTTAGTAAAAAATACCCTTGCTTCCCAGCTGTGTTTCTGGAATACCTTTTTAGTTCTTTCCTTGGGCTAAATTTCTCTGCTTGTCTCAACAACAGTAGATCCCTTGAAAAATGGAAGCTTATTTATTTATTTACTTTATTTATATACCGCTTTTCTCAGCCCTCAGGCGACTCAAAGCAGTGAACAACATCGATACAAAACATCACAAGACAAGTATAGGGCAATTAAAAACAATTGTAAAATAAATAATTAAACATCAGTATAATAATCATTAGCACCTCAACAGTAAAATCAGAATCCAGTCTCATCATCCATTATTCCGTATTCCTATGTTCAATTACACTGTTTAAGCTTGGTAAGTCAACATATATGTAAGTCTGATTGATTCAGTGTGGCCCGACATGCTTAACCACTGTGTTGTCCATAATTTGAACATGTTACTTAGAATATGCTCTTGAGTACCTTGGCAAAGCACAGGGGGAATTCTGTGACAGATTTCCAGCAGATATCTCATATGGGGAAGCGTCCCTGAAGGTGCAAATTGAAAAGAAGAGCAGTGTCTTAAGGATTAGAAACACTGAGCTGCTTTTTTCTCAAAGGCAATTTACACTTGCCTTCTGAAATCTCAAGTAATTTTGAAACTGTGTGTGCTTTCTCTTTCTTTTATTGGTCTTGGTGATTTTGCTCTCTGTATCCACAGGGTGTCAGACAAGCTGAAACAGTCTCCACAATCCCTGATTGAAGCCAATAGCACAGATCCTGGCTTGGAACTGTCAGAAAACGGTTCCCTCCTGTCCCTCAGTGAGCTGGATTCGGCTTTCTCACAGCTCAGGAGTCGACTTCAGAACGTCACGTTGCAGCTTGGAGGAACTAGAGAACCACCACTAGCAGCAGCTAAAGGAACAAGGAAACATGTGCTCTTGATGGCCACAACTCGCACCGGTTCCTCCTTTGTAGGGGAATTCTTCAACCAGCAGGGTAATATTTTCTACCTCTTTGAGCCATTGTGGCACATTGAAAGAACCGTATCCTTTGAGCCTGGTGGTGCCAATGCTGTGGGGTCAGCCCTTGTCTACCGAGATGTTTTGAAGCAGCTCTTCCTTTGTGACCTCTACATCTTGGAGAACTTCATTATCCCCTTCCCAGAGGGTCACCTGACACAGTTTATGTTTCGGCGTGGTTCGAGCCGCTCGCTGTGCGAGGAGCCTGTCTGCACGCCTTTTGTCAAGAAGGTCTTTGAGAAGTATCACTGCAAGAATCGTCGCTGTGGCCCTCTAAATGTGACTTTGGCCACAGAGGCCTGCCTGCGCAAGGAGCACATGGCCCTTAAGGCAGTGCGGATCCGGCAGCTGGAGTTCTTGCGGCCTCTAGTTGAAGACCCTCGGCTGGACATGAAGATAATCCAGCTGGTACGGGATCCTCGGGCAGTGCTGGCTTCTCGCATGGTAGCCTTCTCGGGTAAGTATGAAACCTGGAAGAAATGGGCGACGGAGGGTGCAGCGTCCCTTAATGAGGAGGAGGTGCAGAGGCTGCGGGGGAACTGTGAGAGCATCCGGCTCTCAGCTGAACTCGGTTTGAGGCAGCCAGCCTGGTTACGGGGTCGCTACATGCTGGTCCGCTATGAGGACATTGCCAGGTCTCCCCTCCAAAAGGCTAAGGAGATGTACAAGTTCACAGGCATCACCATTACCCCCCAGGTAGAGGAGTGGATCCGGAAGAATACTCAGGCACCTCAGGATAGCAACGGCATCTACTCCACCCAGAAAAACTCTTCTGAACAATTTGAAAAATGGCGGTTCAGCATCCCTTTCAAGCTGGCCCAAGTGGTGCAAAATGTCTGCAGTCCAGCCATGAAACTGTTTGGCTACAAGCTGGCCAGCAGTCCCGAGGTTCTTACAAATCGGTCCATCAGCTTGCTAGAGGAGGAGAGAAGGACCTTCTGGGTCACGTAAAAGTGGCTCTTGTGGCTAGATTTTCCCCATATTGTAGTGTTCTGTGGAGCTGAAAAAGCCAGAATGAAGACATCATTGGGAAAAGGAATACATAGAAGAAAGACTTGAAGAGGAAGGCATCTGTGGCTAGCTTTTTTTGAGCTTCTGGCATGTCTTCTGTTCTTTCTTCAAGCACAGTGCTTTCTGCTTTTCCTGGGAGCAGCTGTTATGTTCCTGACTTATTTGAGGCTTTTTCATTTGGTTGTCAAATGGTCAAAGTCTTATCAATATGAATGGACACAGAATACAGAGATCCAATCTCTTTACCTCATATCCATGTCCTCCTCAGTGGAAGCATTGACTATTCCTCACAACACATCCAAAGGGGGAGTGAGACAATATTCTATTTTTGAAAATACATTTACACTTTTAAAAAAGAGAAAGGAGAAATTCCATGAAAAAGCAGAATGTTGCACTGATATTGCCTGAGGCAGCCTTAAAGGACTTGTCAAGCAGATGTTTGAAAAGTATGGTGAAGCAGGGGGAAAAAGAGTAAAGAACATCATTTCACAGAACTGTAGAAGAGATGTCTATGCCGCTTGGAAAGAGGCTGTTTTATACATGTTTTACTCAGACTCTGATAAACTGATGCCTTGTTTAAGCTTGAGGAGATGTGACTGGTTCACACAGATAACTGAGAAGGAAGGGCTTGGAGTAGGTGCCTCTACCACAAAGATGCCTCTACCCCAATAATAAGGGTACTTTGGGTTACAATACAATTTCATGTCATTTCTTTGTCTTGTTTTGCACCTAAACTATGAGAGATTATACAAAAAACAGACTATGGAAAAAAAACGTTCAAAGTAGGATGGAATTGTATTCCTTCTGTATCTCTGGGAGATCAGTCCTCTTCGGTGGCACCAGTCCACTCATCTTTTTTTAAAAGTATGTCTAGTTTTCTCACTTGTCTCTCAGATAATTGTTACTGAATCACTGTCTGGAGACAGTTAAGAGACAATAGCTTTTTTTTTTAGTCTTGGTGATAAAAGGCTGTGGCTTTCATTGTATTTCTTGACCCCTCACTCTTCTAATAATTGTTTTTGTATCTTTTTAACGTGCTGGTTGGAAACTGACAATAATTCTTTTCTACAGTTTCAGAGAAGAATTATTTTGTATAACCCAAATAGTTGAAAGTACAGAGAGAAAGAAGTGGAAGGCTACAAGAGATAGAAACCCAAATGTAACGGGTTCAACAATAGACTGTGCAAATAATTTCTGCAATAGCAAGAAGCACAGTCTCCCATCACAGCCTAGGGATTCTCCTCACACTTTTCTGGTCCAATCTTTTTCCTCCATAGACCTGCAAACCAGAAACAAACACCTAATGAATCTTTGACACAATCTAGGCACGGCTATTAATCTGAAGCACTTACTGAAATACCTTTATACTGTCTGCAATGTAGACAGAAACTTGGAAATACATCCAAGATGAACATATACCAGAGGGAAAGCTGTGTTCATTTGAAACAGCAAAAAGAACAGCAAGTTTTGTGATTTTTAATATATTCACATCCCATTTCACTGTTCTCTTCAAATATGTACAGATTTGATCAATCTACAACAGTAACTAATGGTGTTATTACTGTCTTGCAATATTAATTTAATACAGTAGAGTCTTGCTTATCCAACATAAATGGGCCGGCAGAAGGTTGGATAAGTGAAAATGTTGGATAATAAGGAGGAATTAAGGAAAGGCCTATTAAACATCAAATTACGTTATGATTTTTACAAATTAAGCACCAAAACATTATGTTTTACAACAAATCAACAGAAAAAGCAGTTCAATACATGGTAACGTTATGTAGTAATTACTGTATTTATTGATGTGTTTTGGGCTTGGTCTCATGTAAGCTGCTCCGAATCCCCTTGGGGAGATGGTGGTGGGATATAAATAAAGTTTATTAATAATAATAATAATAATAATAATAATAATAATAATAATAATAATGAATTTAGCACCAAAACATTACAATGCATTGAGACAGCTGTGGATCCGTGTAGGAAGCAGACTGTGTTGGATAATACAGAATGCTGGATGAGGTTGGATAAGCAAAGCTCTACTGTACCTGAAAAGGGACAATTTATTTTGGTGCAGGAAAAGACAACATCAAAAACAATTGACTGATGTGCATACATAAAATCATAAAATATGTTAAAGAGATGCTTCCCCTGTTTTTGTTTCTGTCATTCAGACAGAAGCTGTTATATTTAGGGGCTATCAAGCCATTGTTTATTTGGTTTGGGGAATAGGGCAGAAGTGATGAATAGAGACTGTATTTATTTTAAGCCACTCAAAACAATAGAGAATGGCATGCTGTGTCTCATGTTTCCTGAAAGGTAGTGAACAATCATGATCTGAAAACAGGACTGCACAGCTGTAGCAGGAATGGCATCTGCTCTCTCGCATATACGAGGGGTATTTTTTAAGTAAGGTCCGTTGGAACATAAGTACACAACGAAAGTTTATTTCAAAAAAGTAAATTTATTTTCAGAAAGTACATACTTCATTTTATTTTTCGACATAGTTGCCAAGTTTGTTCAAACACTTATCATACCTCTGAACCAATTTTAAAATACCCTCTTCATAAAAACTTGCCGCCTGCTCTGATAACCAAATCATCTGTAATCAAAGAAGGGCGACCGAAGCGGTCCTCATTATGGACATTGTCACGGCCATCTTTGAATTGTCGTACCCACTTACGCACTTTGCTTTCACTCATAACAGTATCACCGTACACTTCACAAATCTATCGATCAATTTCTGCAGCAGGCAGGTTCCTTGCTGACAAAAACCGTATCACTGAGCGAACCTCACATGCGGCTGGTGAGTTGATAGTCTTAAACATTTTTAAAGCACAGAACAGAACCGTACAGGTTAGCTACAGAGCGGAAACTGAGCACAGTTGTTCCCGAGGCAGGCTGGTACACGACGCACGTGTTCGTTGCGGTATGCGCGTGAACTACTAGTGTCTACAACAAAATGGACCTTACTTTAAAAATACCCCTTGTATGTATGTGCCCGTATTCTCTAGAAAAGTATCTCATTCTAATCTAGATTATAGAATCATAGAGTTGGAAGAGGCCTCATGGGCCATCCAGTCCAACCCCCTGCCAAGAAGCAGGAAAACTGCATTCAAAGTACCCCCGACAGATGGACAGATTATAAAGTACTTAAAAAGAGGATATCTCTGGATAAAAGAAGTTCTTCCCCATAGCTTCTGGGATACAGTTTACTCCTAACAAAATATCTGCCAAAGTTAAGACATTTATGTTGCAAATAATCAGCTCTCATTTACCCAGGAGTAAGATCTGTTGAACTTGATGGGGTTTACTTCTGAGTAAGCACCTGTATCTTTGACATCATGCTGTAAGCATCTGGGAGAGGACATCAATCATCTCATATTCATCTAATTCCCATAAAGAACATGCATGATTTTTCGCTCACATTGTGTGAAAAGTCTTCACATTCAGTAATCTGTTTGGGAGGAACAACACAAAAAGTTTCCTCCCTGCCTGATTTCACTTGTGATACTTGTATCTGAACTTACGCTGTGCCCTATGTTTTCATATTTAAGATATATAGCAGACATGAACAAAGGAGATTGATGCGGGCACAGTATCTAGAGTTCTTTTTCATATAGCAGGGAGTGATAGAGGTGGCCCCATTGTTAGAGAAGGCAAAGTCTCTGTGGTGGCTAGGAGTCCCTTTCCATAACCTCCAACTTCTGATGGGAAAATGCTATATGGAGGAATCTCAAGGCCATGTTGTCTTTATGGGTTTCCACTAGGGCTGGGTAACCATGGAAAAATTTGTTTCTAAACTCGATTCGTTTTTAAGGGCCATCACGTTTCGTTTCATTTCTTTAAAGAATTCCGAAATTTTCCTTTAAAAAATTTCGAAATATACGAAATTTCGTAAATGGCGAATCGATTCGTTAATGGCGGACACGATTGTGCAATATGCTAAAAAAACCTCCAAATATGCTAAAAATATGCTGAAAAAACCTCCAAATGGGACAGGGGGAACTTCTGAAGCTTCCCTCTCCCTCTGTTGTTGACTGTTGGTGTGATAAAACAAACAACAACTATAAAACTTGCACCAGGCATGCGAAAATAATTACGAAACAATTTCGAAACAATTACGAAATAATTACGAAATAAATTGAAAAAATTGTTTCGAATCTATTTAACTCCTCACACTATTCCAAAATGGCTCAATATCGGATCGTAAGCTAATTTAAATACGAATTAATAACGAATTACGAAATTAACGAACGAAACCGCCTAGCCCTTGTTTGCACCCATAACTTCTACTAAGATTTCACTCTCCAGTTTATCATGGGAAAGAGCTCCAAGTAGCTGTAGGTGTTATGAAGACTTACTGGAAAAGAAATAAGAGAGCTAAATTCAAAACTGGAGGAAGATGTAGAGTTGAGGTTGATTTACAAAATACAAAATTAATTTCACATGCCATTAATCTGGTATATGGGGCTTGCTGAATGGAGTCCTTTGATGTATACCTCAAAAGACTCCTAGATCACATGAAAAACCTGTTTATACATTATTTAGATCGACATGAGAGCCGTCCCATGGTTCCTTCTCCTGCACCACTTCCATGCTTGCAAGTTTTGCAACCATCACTGAGTGTAATTTGAATCATGTTAGTTAGTGACAGTCCTTGCCCTGATGTGCGAGTATCAACTCAAACCAAGGACTACTATGATATAACACATTCCAGATCAATAAATACATTTTCAGAGTAATCCGATCATTTTCTGAGAAGATTAAAATGTTTTTTTCCTGTGCTACCATTGGTCCATTGCCTCAGGAATAAAAAATTGGGTGGTTTAAAAAGCAAACAATGCTTGGGCGTATTGTCGAAGGCTTTTATGGCTGGAATCTGGGTTGTTGTAGGTTTTTCCGGGCTATATGGCCATGTTCTAGAGGCATTTTCTCCTGACATTGCCTGCATCTATGGCAAGCATCCTCAGAGGTAGTGAGGTCTGTTGGAAGTAGGAAACATGGCCATATAGCCCGGAAAAACCTACAACAACCCAAAGCTTGGGTGATTCTCTTCTCCAATCTGGGAATAGGATAGAAGAATTAAGTCTGAATCCTGTTGGTTAGTCTCAGGCCATTGAATCAATTGTTGAATGATGAATCAACGTATAGGCACTTCTTTTGATTCAGTGAGTCTACTCTAGTTGGGTTTTTGCAGTCTTTCCCAGTATGCTTTCTGTTTGCTCTTGCAAAGGAGGATTGAGAAGTTTAACTTCTCTCTTGTGCGCTCAGAAGGGGAGGTCTGAAAAGCCCTATGGAATCTAGGACTTTGCCTTCAATTCCTTAGTTAGAAAATTGGTGTATATATATATATATATATAAAAATAATAATAATAATAATCTTCATAGAATCATAGAATCAAAAGTTGGAAGAGACCTCATGGGCCATCCAGTCCAACCCCCTGCCAAGAAGCAGGAATAT